GTGGCCGGGAGCGGCCATTGCACTCCAGTCTGGGTGACAGAGTGAGACTCCAACACAAAAAAGAAAAAAAGAAACAAAACCTTTTTTACTACATGCGTATATAAAGTCAACATAAACTACATGATGCTCTAAATTAGACAGCCTCAACAAATTCAACATTTATTCCATCTCTATGCACAAGACAATCACATACAATCAATCGAGCAGAAAAATGGTGAACTGCAAGCCCAGTTTCAATTATTAAGTATTTATTTTGGTATATCACACTTCAAATATCTTGTTTAACATTCCACCCCCAGTCTAGGCAACACAGCAAGGCCACATCTCTACCAAAAATTAGAAAATCAGCCGGGCATGGTGGCATGGAGGTAAAGGCTGCAATGAGCTGTGATGGTGCCACTGCACTCCAACCTGGGAGACAGTGTTGACATCCCAGCTCAAAAAACAAAATAAAACAAAAAACATACTCAAACCATGTCTCTTATACTATCTATACATAACCTTCTTCATAAACATATTCTAAAATATTCCTCAAGTATATACCAGAGTAACATTAGAGGATATATAGAGTTGGCCAGAAAGGTACAACTTAGGGTGAGCACCGCACCCGCAGGCCCAACACCCAGCTCTTCCAAGATCACACTGCTCCCCTAGAATATCAATGTTTTCTCCACCAAAGCTTCCCTCTAGAGTTCACAAACCTGCCCAAGTCCTTGCCAATCCTGAACCATACCACTCAGCCCTGCTCCAGTCTGTCCTCACACCACAAACCCTTACCAAGGTCTCCAATAGACCCTTCCTCCCTATCCACGTTCTCTCCTGAAATGCAGTTTCTGTCAAATCACCAAATCCAAATCTCACCCATCTTAAAAACGCCAGCAATATCTGATACTACTGACCAAGCCCTTCCTTCTTGCAGCTCCCACCTGGGCATCCGTACTCCTGATTTCTCCCTCTTCTGACCACCTCCCTCCCCTGTCCTCACCTGTGTTATCCTACAGATTTCTCAATTGCTTGTGAGCACTCTGAAGCTAGCTGTCCACCTAGAACTTGAGGTATCCAAAATACAACACCTACCTTCTACTTTCCTCTCCTCCTGTTTCTTACTACTGTTAAGGCAACGTCAAGACTGTGCCATAGGGAGTTACCATGGAAGGGTTTCTCTCCCTTGTCCTTTATCTCCCCACTTCCAAACAGTCCCAAGGACCAGTTCCTCTTTACCTCCACAATGTTGCTAGAATCTACCACTTCCTTTTACTCCCTCTTGCACCTTACTGCAGGTCTCTCTAAACAAAGTTTTAGCTATTTACAATTTTAATTTGCACATGTAAAAAACATGTCAAATGTGGCCAGATGCAGAGATTCACACCTGTAATCACAGCACTTTAAGAGGCAGAGGGAAGAAGACAGACTGAGCCCTGGAGTTTGAGATCAGCCTGGGCACCTTGGCGAGACCTTGTCTCTACAATAAATCAAAAAATTAGCCAGGCTGGTGACGCACATCTGTAGCTCCAGCTACTTGGAAGGCTGAAGTGGCAGGATTGCCTGAGGCCAGAGTCGAGGCTGCAGTGGCCATGAGCATGCCACTAGACTCCTGCCTAGGCAACAGAGTGAGAATCCCACTCAAAAAAAAAAAGTCAAACACAAAAAAAGAGATTTACAGAATCTCATTTCACATCACTTCCTTAGGAATGCCTTCCTGACCCTTGACTGCATGCATCAGGTTCTCTAGCTCTTAATAATACATGTGTTGGCCAGGTGCAGTAGCTCAGGCCTATAATCCCAGCACTTTGGGAGGCCAAGGTGAGAGGGCTGCCTGAGCCCACAGGTTCGAGACCAGCCTAGACAACTTAGCCAGACCTCATCACTACAATAAACAAAAAAATTAGCTTGGCATGGTGGTGCATGCCTGTAGTTCCAGCTACTTGGAAACCTGAGGGAGAACGATCACTTGAGCCCAGCAGGTCGAGACTGTGGTGGTTGTGAGCATGTCACTGTACTCCAGCCTGGGTGACAGAGTGAGACTCCAACTCAAAAAAGCAAATAATGCATGTGTTTCATTCACAGCATTTTCCACAACTGTGCTTTTATATTTATGTAACTGCATTTAAAGTCTTGTCCCCCAACCATGAGAAGGAACTGTCTGTAACTCCCAGCATATAGATGAAGTTCAAGAAATGTTAAGAGACATGAACGAAAGGAGGGTGGAACTGGGCTTCTTTTCCATTGTTGCTATTATTGTTTCCACAAGTTGTGATCTTAAGTACAATATATTTAATAAGGAAAAATCAATTAGTCAATACTTACATCCAACTTGAGTAGTTTTTCAATAATAAGTTCTAGAATTTCATGCCTCAAGGTTGGAAAATATACACTAATCCTTAGGAGGTTATGAACATAACATTCCTAAAACATACAACATAAAAAGATAAACATTGCAACACAGAAAAAAAAGTATCAAAATTATGTAAGCAAAACATCAATTACATAAATTATCCAAATATTTAAACAGAAAAAACACCAGCCTGGGTAACATGGCGAGACCTGATCTCTACAAAAAAAATTAGCTAGGTGTTGTGGTAGCACATGCCTGTAGTCCCAATTACTCAAGAGGCTGAGGTGGAAAGACAGCTGAGCCCAGCAAGTTGAGGCTGCAGTAGCCATGACCATGCCATTGCACTCCAGCCTGGGTGATAGAGTGTGACTATAACTCAAAAAAAAAAAAAAATGGCCAGGTGCAGTGGCTCACACCTGTAATCCCAGCCCTTCAGGAGGCCGAGGCAAGAGGACTGCCTGAGTCCCAGGTTCCAGACAACCCTGGGCAACTTGGTGAGACCTCGTATCCACAATTAATCAAAAAAAATTAGCCAGGCAGAAGGATCGGCTGAGCCCAGCAGGTCAAGGCTGCAGTAGCTATGAGCATGCCACTGCACTCCAGCTTGGAAGAGTGAGACTCTGGCTCAAAAAACAAAAAAAAACAACAACAATAACAAAACCCCACTATTGCCTAATCCAACATTACAAATATTTATACCTGTTTTCTTCTAAGAGTTTTATAGTTTTGGCTTTAAGCCTTTCATCCATTTTGAGTTCATTTTTATATACAGATATCCATATACTTCATTTGTATCTTCTAGTAATTCTTATCTGTATGAGCACACAAAGACTTTAAAGATACTTCGGAAACTGACTCTGACCTTGACTCACACAAAGTAGTAAGACAAGAAGGCACTGGGAATACCCATTTGTCACCTGATAAGTGGATATCTACTTATGCCACCACCATGTGTTGAAAAGAAGATTCTCTCCCATTTAATTGTCTTGTACAACTAGTTTTTGTACATTGGTCTAGTCCATAACCAGGCTGAACTCATGCATTCTTCAGGATAACATGTAAAATGAGCATGTCATCTGTAAGAGTTTTCCTTTCCATCTGGATGCCTTTAATTCTTTTTGTTGCCTAACCACCCTGGCTAGACAAGTGGCAGGAGCGGATATCCTTATTGTGTTCTTTACCCTAGGAGAAAGCTTTCAATCTTTTACCACTGGGTATAATGTTAGCTGTAGGTTTTTCATAGATGCTCTTTATCAAGTTGAGATAGTTTCCCAGTCGGGCATGGTGGCTCACACCTGTAATCCCAACACCTTGGGAGGCGAGAGGATTGCCTGAGCTCAGGGGTTCGAGACCAGCCTGGGCAACTTGGCAAGACCTCATTTCTACAATAAATCAAAAAATTAGCCAGCATGGTGGAGCACATCTGTGGTTTCAGCTACTTGGAAGGCGGAAGCAGAAGGATCACCTGAGCCCAGCAGGTCAAAGCTACAGTGGCCATAAGCATGCCACTGCACACTCCAGTCTGTGCGACACTGTGAGACTCTGACACATACACAAAAAAGAAAGATTCCTTCTACATTTGTCATGAGAGCGTTTTGATGTTTGACAAACACTTTCTCTGCATCTACTGAGATGATCATGTGATTTTTGTCCTACTGTTCTACTGATATGGTATATTACATAAGTTGATTTTTTCAGGTATTAAATCAACCTTGCATTCCCAGGATAAATCTCACTTAGTCATGCACATAAGTCTTTTTACACATTGCTAGATTCCATTTTTCTAGTAAGACAACCATTATTAACTATCAAAAACTACGCAGATGTCTAAACACAATACAAAAACTTAAGCAGAAGGCTCTGGTTCCAATTCAAATAAGGCAGGTTTACAATTAGCAGCATATGAACTATTCTAGTGAACTCTTATCTGTATGAGCATGAAGGCTTTAAAGACATTTCTGAGATGGACTCTGCCTTCTAGACTTGCACATAGAAATAAGAGAAAAAGGCACTGGGAATCCCCATTAGTCACATGATAAGAAAGGAATCTGAGTCAAATTCTGAGTTTAGAAGACAAAACAACTTTTAAGAAAAATACCTAACACCATCTAAAATGAAATCACACAAAACAACTTTTCTATTAATTTCCCCATGAAAAGATTGCTTACCAATGTTCTCTCTGATTTTCGAACAAATGGAAATTTTTCCACCAGTATTGGCATAAGAAACCATGGTGTCCTATAGGAAAAAAAAAAAAAAAAAAAAAAAAAAAATCAACCAATCCATGTTAACCAGATTTTCTAGGAAAGTAAAATTCCCATTCTAAAATCAAATATGGAGTAGAGACAAGAGGCAAACAAGGACCCGTATCTCAGTCAACTGGAACTTAAAATGAATGTATATCTTCAAAATATCTTTAATGACTTAGGGGAAAATAAGCTTCTATTTATTTTTTTTATTTTATTTTAAAGATGTGGGGTACAAATCAGGATTAGCTATACAAGTGCTCACTGTACAGGTAATGTTCGGGCCTCCCTTTTGGACCCCACTATAAAATAAGCTTCTATTAACTGTGAATCAACAGCAAATCAAAGGGGGAGTTTTTTTCCTACAAAAGAGGGCTTCGGCTTAAAACCGCAACATTTCCACTACACATGTACATTATTTTTAAAAGGGGAAAATATTATCAACTTGGGTTTTTTTTAAGTTAACAAATAATAAACTTACAGAGGTAATTAGAAGTCCACCACTCCAAAAGAAACCCACAAACATGGCATGCCACAAACACACCCAGGGGTTTCTCACTGAAAATTTTTGGATAGTATTATCTGTTGAAGATAAAGGCAAAATTCCAACCACTATACAAAATGTGGGAGAGAATCTGCATACAAATTTTGAAAAATAAGCCGGGCTCGGTGGCTCAGCCTGTAATCCCGCTCCTTGGGCAGCTGAGGTTTGTGGATTGCCTGAGCCCGCGGGCTCGAGACCTGCCTAGGCAACTTGGTGAGACCTCATCTCTACAATAAATCCAAAAAATTAGCTGGGTATGGTAGGCGCGCCTGTAGTTCCAGCTACTTAGGAGGCTGAGGCGGAAGGATCACCTGAGCCCAGCAGCTTGAGGCTGCGGTGGCTGGAAGTGGCCACTGCACTCCAGTCTGGGCGACAGAGTGAGACTCCAACTCAAAAAAAAAAAATTTTTTTTTGAAAAATAATTAAAGACAACGAGTAGAAAACAATGCCATCGGTAGAATGCAATGCTTCATCTTCTGGACACAAAAAAACACAGCACAAGATTCATGTTTTGATGCTATTAACATTTTATACTTTTCTAACTGACTAGAACTTTTTTGAGAATAAACATCATGATGCAAAATAAGTAACAAAAGTATACTCACGATGGGACATATCTCGCTATTATTTGCAAGGCTCTGTGACATGTGTCAAAATTTGCAGGAAGATCTACAGAGAGAAGAGTTGAAAGTACAAGCATCAACACAAAAGTGAGAAATGATGCACATCGAGCTAAAGACACTTGACACCCAAAGGTGAATTATCAGAGAAATAATAACTCCAAGATTTTCCTCCACAATTATCAATGAAAACTAAACAGGCTAAATAATTAAATAACACATTCAGGATAACTGCTTGCATATCAATGCTAACTATAACAGAAAGATTCTCTCAAAGGTTGCCATTTGTTGTAGTCTACTTATTAAAACAGGTGTCAGTGTATTTTATCATTCATTATGCATTCTCTAAGACAAGGAGGCATTCTTTGCTTTAATCCCCTCCCTTTTTTTTTTTTATTTTTAAGAGACAAGGTCTTGCTATGTTGCCCAGGCTGGATTCCAACTCCTGGGCTCAAGCAATCTACCCACCTCAGTCTCCTGAGTAGCTGGGATTATAGGTATGTACCACCATACCTAGCTCAACTTTTCTTTTAAACCTTTTTATACTTACTATCATCTTCATCATCAGAATCTGAAACATCTACATCACCTTCCTTAATGATCACTCGAGCTTTGAAGAGGAAAAAAAATATAGGTTATTCTGTCATTGACCTAGACAATGAATAGTTATACAAAAAGGTATTTTTCCCTAATTCAAACTTAATGATTAAATTTACAATCTGAAAAAACGTGAAGCAACTTTATAGTTTTTTAACAGCTAAAAATCCCTAGCTGAGTTCTAAGACTTCATTAGAAGCTCACCAAAGCAAATTACAATCCATAAAAATCACAGCAAGAAATTAATCTAGAACTTCCCTAGAGGTCATTATAGGGAACAGACATCTTCCAGAACCAGTACCAATGTGCAGCTGAAATACTCCACAATGGCAGTATCTCCAACATGTAAGGAGAAGGTTGTAATTTAATAAAGAGGTATTTAAAAAGAAAAATCAAAGCGAGCAAAGAGCAACAACTTACGAGGTACAAAATGGGAAGCAATCATTCTTAGACATGGTCTAAGGAAGACAGTCTGTGCTGATACGAGATTACCAAGAAAAGACAAATATTCTTCCACCACTGTTGGACTTCTATTCAACCAAGGCAATCTCTAGAGTTAGGAAAGGAAGAAGAAATGAACATTTTACTGATATATGTACTGTTTTCAAAGCACTGAGGTACATACTAATCAGTGAAATAAATGGTGAACTTACCAATATAATGTTGATAAGCTGCTCGAAGTCTTTTGTCAAGTTCATGATAGAAGAGCGGAATTCTAGCAGCCAGCTAATGATCTGGTCATCCTAAAGTCAAACAGAAAAGTACTTTAAAAATCGCAAATCCTTAAAAATAACAGAAAAATTATATCTAACTTACATCAATCATCTATCAGTAATATTTAGGTTAGGAGGAAAAAGTCACAAACTTAGAACAAAACCAAAACTGGATATAAAAACAGAAAAAGATGTCACAATAAACTTTTCTAAATTTAAAAAAATAATCAAGTAACTGATACATAGGAGAAACAATCAAATGTAATACTTCAGCCTGATCATCTTTGTTTGCCCTTGACAAGTGAAAACACCTAAAATGATGACACCTAGGATATTTAAAAATTTAAGAATCGTCCAGGCGAGGTGGCTCATGCCTATAATCCCAGCACTTTGGGAGGCTGAGGTAAGAGGACTGATTGCCTTAGCCCACGGGTTTCAGACTAGCGTGGACAACTTGACAAGACCTCATCTCTACAATAAATCAATAAACAAAAAAATTAGCCTGGCGTGGTGGTGCATGCCTATAGTTCCAGCTACTTGGAAGGCTGAGGCAGAAGGATCGCCTAAGCCCAGCAAGTCAAGGTTGCAGTGGCCAGGAGTGTGTCACTGCCCTCTAGCCTGGGAGACAGAGTGAGACTCCAACTCAAAAAATAAATAAATAAATGAAATAAAGAATTTTAACATATTCACGTATTAACAAATCACAAGAGATCAATAGCTATCTCTACTTCCTCTATCTTCAAGCTGACCAGGAAGCACGTTGATAACATTCAGTCTGGGATGGTTAACTGGGGTCTTCAATAAAAATAACTTTTTCTAAACTCAACCTGTGGCTGGGTTTTTTAATGTATTATGATGTGTTCTATATAAATGATGGTTCCACTACTCCATGAAATATTTTTCAGGCAATAAAATTATCGTTCATAATAATTTCTAGTGACATGAGAATAAATACTAAATAAAAAAATACAGTATCAGTTATGCAAAATATATTATTTATATTCAAGCATATATACTACACAGGAACAAAAGCACCTAACTTGTAAAGGAAAATGGTTAGACATATAAATAACAATACAATGTCATACTACGGGGATAGACTAGTCAGAGGGTGTACCACTTAGAAAAACATACCACATGCCGGGAACTGTGCTCAACACTGTATATATAAGTCTTTTTCTAAGCTAAAAACTCTGCAAGATGAGTAGTTATTCCCATTTTACAGTTGAGGAATCAGATTAATAAACAATCTGCCACTCCAGGCGTGGTGGCTCATGCCTATATCCCCAGAACGTTAGAAGGCAGAGGCAAGAGGACTGCCTGACTCAAGGGTTTGGACCAGCAAATCAAAAAATTAGCTGGGCGTGGTGGAGCACGCCTGTAGTTCCAGCTACTTAGAAGGCTGAGGCGGAAGGATGGAAGGATCGCCTGAACCTAGGAGGTCGACACTACAGTGGCTGTGAGCAGCATGCCACTGTACTCCAGCCTGGTTGACAGAGTGACTCTTCGACTCGAAAAATAAAAATTTTAAAAATTTAAAAAAGTAAAAAGTAAAAGCAATCTGCCCAACCAGGAAGCCAATGAAGAAAATGTTCAAACCCACCCATGTAGGTCAAGGCTATGCTCCGTCCACTCTCCCATAGGCCCTTCCCCACCTTCATTCAATGTGATAGGCTTCGGGCAACCCCTCCTGGTCCCCACACACTTTGGGAGGTTTTCTGTCCTCAGTAAATCCTGCTTTCCCACAAAAAAAAAGATCAACCATCTTCTAATGAAACCCCAGGTAACTTGACAGTAAAGTAAAGTAAGTCACAACACATTTGCACTACAGTAATTTCAGAATGTCCGCAACTGTTAAGGATAACATTAATAGCGGCTCACTAAGTCCTAAGTCACATCAAAGACTAGATTAAATTATGTGCAGATAAAAATAAGATCTTTGCTATTCCTTTTCCACTAAAAAAGAATGCAACAAGACTACAAAGATAACATTTAAACAGCTCCATTAAAAAAAAATAAACCAGTCACAGACTTTGGTTCTTTAGTACTATTACTAGAAGTCAATTACTTGTAATACTCTAGAATTAACAGAGACACAAATGGTGCAATTCTTGGTATGTCAAGATTTCAAGAATAAGAACTGCTGATATAAAATACAGTGGAACACAAAGAAATCACCATTTGGATCTGTGAAAGAAGGTAGGAGTCAGGAAAAGCTTGAAAGAGGAGGTTATGTTTCATCTGTATTTAAACGGTAAGAGTGAAAGCATTTTCTGGAGGTTATATTTCTTACGGAGGGAAAAGGATGTTCAGTATGGTTGGGGTATATGGTGAGCAAGCCAAGGGACAAATCAAGAAAGCAATAAACCAAACAGATCATGAAGGGCCCCGCAAGCCAGATCTGTAATTAGAAAGATCTGCTGGAAGCACTGGGAACGGAATCATGTGCTTAGAGTACCAGGGAAAGCTCTGTTAAGGATGACATTTCAGCCGAGTCTCAAAGAGTAAGTAGGAGTTTTGTAAATTACACTAATAATGGTAACAATACTAAACACTAATAGAGTATTTACTGTATGAGAGGCACTGTTCTAAGACTTTAACATACATTAGCTCACTTAATCCTTACTCCATGAGGTAGGTCCTACAATCGATTTCCATTTTACAGATGAGGACAATGAAATACAGACATGTGGTAACTTGCCCTTGGTCATACAGCTAGTAAGAAAGGAAGCAATGTAGCCAGAGGCCATGCTAAAACAGGTAGCAATGTGGATACAAAGGACTCAGCCAGTCAGAAAGAAAGGCACATGCAAAAACATAAAGAAGACAAGTAAGCCAGGCATTTTTTTTTTTTTTGAGTTGGAGTCTCACTCTGTCGCCCAGACTGGAATGCAGTGGCTGCTCCCGGCCGGCTCCGGTGATCCTTCCCCCTCAGCCTCCAAATAGCCAGAATTATAAGCATGAGCTACCACGCCTGGCTGATTTTTTTTATTGTAGAGATGAGGTCTCGCTGCCCAGGTGGCTCTCGAACCTGTGGGCTCAAGGCAATCCACTCACCTCAGCCTCCCAAAGGCAGTTTTAAAAAATTTATTTATTTTGAGTTGGAGTCTCACTCTGTCACCCAGGTTGGAGTGCAGTAGCACGCTGTTCACGGCCACCACAGCCTTGACCTGCCGGGCTCAGGTAATCCTTCTGATGTGGCAGAAAGAGGGGTTGGTAGCAGTTAAAGGTATTTCCTTTTGAAAGGCAAACTGCAAGCTTTAAAGAACCACCAGGCACCAGGCAAGTTTTGTTTAAGAAAGGCCAAATGGCCAGAGACTGGCCATTTCATGGAAATGCAAAAGAGTAACTAATTCACAGACTTATCCAAAACCCCTCTTCTGAAGTTGACGGTTTTCAACCCTGCAGTTCCTGAAAACCATTTGTTCTTTGAAAAATCTGATCTTGCTGAGTACAATCTTGTAAGATTCCAAAGGAAATATGTAATCACTCAACACGACCCCCTCCCTTACCTAAACAAGGGTATAAGACCCCAATTCTCCCATTCTGGGGGACTCGACCTGGAAGCATTAGCCCCTCGAGCCCACTGGGCCGGCCAGTGTAATAAAGTATCACTTCCTGCAATAGTCTCGGTGTCACGACCTCTGTCTTCCCGCTACACTTCCTCCTCAGACTTCCAAGTAGCTGGAACTACAGGCACGCACCATCATGCCCAACTTATTTTTTGATTTATTGTAGAGATGAAGTCTTACCAATTTGCCCAGGCTGGTCTTGAACCCATGGACTCAGGCAATCCTCTCACCTCAGCCTCCCAAAGTGCTGGGATTATAGGCATGAGCCACCACACCCAGCCAATTCCAGTTCTTTAGGAGATCGAGGTGAGAGGATTACCTGAGCCCAGGGTTGCAAGACAACTCAAGCAACTTAGCAAGACTTCCTCTCTAAGTAAATAAAAAAATTAGCCGGGAATGCTGATGCGCATCTGTAGTTCCAGCTTCTTGAAAAGGCTGAGGTGGAAGGATCACCTGAGCCTAGCAGATCAAGGTTGTGGTAGCCATGAGCGTACCATTGCACTCCAGCCTGGGTGACAGAGTGAGACTTCAACTCAAAAAAAAAAGCCAGCTGGGCTCGGTGGTTCAGCCTGTAATCCCAGTGTTTTGGGAGGCTGAGGTAAGTGGATTGTCTGAACCCGCGGGTTCGAGACCCACCTTGGGCAACTTGGCAAGACCTCATATCTACAATAAATTAAAAAATTAGCCGGACGTGATAGTGCACACCTGTACGCTACCTGGCTGCGGTGGCCAGGAGCAACCACTGTACTCCAGTCTAGGTGACAAAGTGAGACTCCAACTCAAAAAAAAAAAAAAAAAAAGCCAGGCACAGTGGTCCACACCTGAAGTCACAGCTATGCAAGAGGCTGAAGAGGGAGGGTTGCTTGAGGCCAAGAGATCAAGGCTGTAGGAAGCTATGATCAAATACCAACCTAGACAATATACCAAGACCCCCACCTCTTAAAAAACAAAATAAAAAATGCACTCCATGCTTTAAAAAAATCTCTATTGTTTCCCTTGTTTCACAGAGAGAAAAACAGAAGCAGAGGTTAAAACAATTTACTTAAGATCACACACTGGGTAACAATGGTTGGGATTATGTCCCAGAAATCTGACTACCAGTACCATGATAATAAATTATTCTTTCCAAAATTGGGCAGTAAAGAGAGAAAAATGAAACAAAATGTACTGAGCTGTTACTACATGACAGGTACATATCCTTTTTTTTTTTTTTTTGAGTTGGAGTCTCACTCTGTTGCCCAGGCTGGAGTGCAGT